GAGAATAAATCTTATGAAGAGCAGCTGAGGGCACTGGGGCTGTTCAGTCTTAGGAGGAGACTGAGGGGAGACCTTATTGCTCTCTACAACTACCTGAGAGGACATTGGAGAGAGGTAGGAGCTGGTCTGTTCTCACAGGTAATTAATGATAGAACAAGATGGAACGGACTCAAGCTGCGGCAGGGTAGCTTTAGGCTTGACATTAGGAAAAATTTTTTCACTGGAAGCGTTGTCAGGCGTTGGAATAGGCTTCCCAGGGAGGTGGTTGAGTCACCATCCCTTAATGTGTTTAAAGGTTGTTAAATGTGGTGTTTGGCGATACGGTTTAGGGGTGTACTTTGTAGAGTAGGGTTGATGGTTGGATTTGATGATCTCAAAGGTCTTTCCCAACCTGAATGATTCTATGATTCTGTGGATTATTTAAAATCGTAGTTCTTGTTATGAATGCCTTCCCCCTACTATAAGATGTCCATAACTTTCTGAAATTAGTATTGTCTTTACTTCTACTAATGTAGTTTCTTTCCCAGTATGATTTTTTTTTGTTTTTATTTGAAGCTTGAACACAAAAGATGAGCAATTTCTCAACATCTCAGAGAAAAAAGTACATTCACTTTTGTTTCCCCTTTGCTTTTTATTTCATTACATTAAGGGGGAGATTTGAAAGGTGTCATTTGGCATACAAAGACTTCACTAAGAAGCAATGAACCTTAGGCTGTTGGAGAAATAAATACTTCCTATGGTGTGTTGTAATTCTGAACTTCAGAGTATGATCCAGTCATTAAGGAAGGCACTGCAGCTCCATCACTGTAGAGGGATAAAGTTGGAAAGTAGTTGTGGAGTTCTGGTGATAGTAATTCCCTCTCTTCAAGGAATTCCCTCTCTTCAAGGAATAGCTGTGCAGACTTCATTTTTCATTTGTGCTTATTTTTTTCTTTTAATTCCTGTTACTGAGCTTTCCCTCAAATCTTTGCTCTCGGTCTCTGAAGAATTCCTTCTCCCCTCCCATAATTTGCCTAGTGTCATGGTTTACAACAAAAGCACCCCATTTCTTCTTATTCCTCTTTATGCCCTCTCTGCCTCTACAAGGTATACACATTTGGTTGCGTGCCCATTATGCTGGATGTGGATCAGTGGCACTCACTGATAAATGCCAGCTACGTGAGGGTGTTAGCCACTCTCCCCCTTCTGACCGTGCCTGTTTGTTGCATTTTGGCATTTATTCTTTCTGCACCCAGTAATTGCGGTTTTAATTCTTTTGTTTTCTGCGTACACGAGCACAGATTATTTCAAATCCCTTTCTTCTGTCCTGAGACCAGTTGTCATTATATCGTTGGGGTGGTTTTAATTCTTTTGTTTTCCGCGTACACGAGCACCGATTATTTCAAAATCCCTTTCTTCTCTCCTGAGACCAGTTGTCATTATATCGTTGGGGTTTTTTTCTTCCCCATGAAGTATTACCTTCTCTATCTCATTGCCTTAGTTCTAATTACAGTATATGTTAGTTGTGTTTTGATAGCCAGTTGCCCAAAACACCAGAATGATGTTTAAATTGCTGTGGCCAGACATCAGCTGCTCTTTCCCCAAGAGTGTAATTTGTCCCCTTTTGTTAAAAGTATCTCTCCAATACTATGCATGTACTAGTATTCTGCATAGAATAATCATTTCTCCTACTCAATGTCATGTTTATTAATTCAATACAGTCCAGGGTATAGAGGTATATTTGTTAGGCTAGACCGCTCTGAAATGAGCGGAATAGATGAAAAGAAAATCAATTTCTGGTTCTAAAAAATTTCTGCTTATTGCATCTCAGGCAGAAGTAGGGCCTTACCAAAGCAAAGGAGCATCTGGGTACTTACCTGCGTGACAGTGCTCTCATTGCTATTCTTTAGTTCGTTGGGTGCACAAGGAGAGTTAATGTAAACTTTGTGCCTTCCTTCATGGGGCTCTGTGAGTCGTGTCGTTTGGGTGATGAATTTGTAAGTTGTTAGAAGTACCCAGACAGAATAAATAGAGAATACATGGAACTTGTTTGAGAGGCTTGTATGTTCATTTACATTTTATATTTTTCAAAGATGATTGAAACGGGGTGCTTTGAAGATATCAATGCATATGAAACTGATGGTACTGTGTCACCAGACAGAGAGAGGTCTCCTAAACCAAAGAGAGGCTTCTTTCACAGACTTTTTAGTGGAGAGGTAAGGGTATTTCTTTGCTTTCGTAAGAAAATTACCAGTAAGACCTTAACATCTGTTCATTTTTTTTCCCTATTATTTCATGATTGGAAGAAGAGATTGTGTGCTGAATACTGAAAGTAATGAAATCTGGTTTATTATGGCTTTGCCTCTGCACTGTGTTTCGGAAACTGTGGCAATCCCTATAATTCCAGGTTTTTCCTCCATCAGCATGCTGTCTTCCTCTAGTGTCTGCTAGCTGTTACCTGGGGAAAAGGTAGTGTGTGCTGTTAACAGCTGTGCTATAGATCTTTCTTTCCTAAAGATGTTGATTTGGGTCTCACTCCTTACGTATTTTGCAAGTTTTTTATAAAAACTCCTGGGGAGGTGACTTCAGAGATAACAGAGGCCCTCTCTGTAAAAACCTAAATAAAATTGACTAATGAACTGAGGAGGGAGTGTGGTGGAGCAATGCAACTCCTAGGACTCCCTCCTTCAGAAAGTTGGGCTCCTAATGAATCATTCTAGTGTATTAAGCAAGTAAGTAAAAATATTCCGTAAATGAATGAGTGTGAAGAAGTATCACAAAAGAAATGTTAAAGCATGGTATGTAGTTTAATGCCTTTACCAAAACAACAACATATGTGTTTACATAGCACAATGCACAGCCTTTTCTTGTGTTTACAATGCACAGCCTTTTCTTACGCACAGAACTTCTACTCTTTAGTAAACATGTAGAGGTATATGAATTGAGTATTTACCACCTAAAAGACATGTGGCATATTGTGCTTGTTTATAGGTTGTGAGGTATTTCTAAAGGTTTTCAGTTGAAGATGTTGCACACAATTCTGCTTGCTCAGTATACCTGCACTTAGAGTGGAATTATCTTGAGAAGCATGAGTATATTCCAGCAGAGAACACTTCTGTAGAAATTACTTTTGCTTTCAAGCAGAAATGGGATTTTAAAATTGCTGGGAACATATCATTAAGTAGCCGCAGCAGGGCTGTATATTAAAATTGCATGATGCTATTTTTTGTCATCAGCTGGTAATTCACCTCTCTAAAATGATACAATGCTAATGGAATTTATAACAGTACTGTCATTTTTGGATCACCTTTTCAAATTCACTTTTCCCCCACTTACAGTAGTGGAATAGAAGGAATGGTGAAGTGTACTAATAATCTCATGTAGCTAAAGTTAAACGTGTGTTACTGTAGTCTTTTCCAGCTGAATCAGCAGGGTTCATACTGTCCCAAGATACTGTCCTGTGTATTGAGAAAGAGTCCTAAAAAAATGAATACAGCTTGAGAGCCTTCAATTGTTTTTGAAGTACTGAGACTGCAGTTAATTGTCCTGTGAAGTTAAAAGAAGGAAAGAACTTAAGGTTGAATGAAACTTTAGTGACTTGAGATTTGGGGTTGGGTTGTGGTTTCCTTTGATACTCCCAAAACATTCAGTTAGTGTGGAGTAAAATGTGCTGGAAAAAGAGCCACCTCTCACTCCCCCCGCCCCCCGCCAGCCTTTTTGTGCCCCATAAAACCACCAATAGTGTCAGTTCTGCAGCTGAATTGTTTCTGTCTTCTCTTGCAGGTCTGCTTTAAATCTGATTGCAGTGATGATGAGCAAGAGTCCTCCAGACTTTAAATCATTTTACTCTCATCAGAAAGGATGAGCAAACTTTAAATGTTTTATATCTCTGTAGCAAAGTGTATTATATATATTTTTTACCTGAGTTCAAGGATTTTTGTACATTTGTACTTCATTTGTTTTAAGATGTATATTTTCACTAAAGCTTAATTGTACAAAAAGCAATGAGTGCCATTTGACTGAGTGTGTTTCTGTATGTATTTGATTTATCTTGATTTTTTTTTTTTTCCCCCCCAATGGAATGAATCTAGAATTACTAAAAAGATTTTAAAGCACAGAGATAATATCCATGGCATCAATGTAACTTGGCTTTGTATGCTCCTGGTAAAACTCTTCTTGTTCATTAGGATCTTTATTAGCAGTTTTCTTCACAGTAAAAATGCTGTACTGATAAATTTCATAATTCCAGTATTATCTGGCAGCATGGCAGTGCTATTACCTAATGTAACTTTCAAACAACTGCTAAGGAAAAAAAGGAATTCGGTGCACAGTGGCCGGCTATTATGAATTGCTCTTTACTATCCGGCTCTGTAGAATGGCTTCTTGTATTTCTCTATCTAGAGAACTGAACTTTTAGCTTAATCCTGTAACGAACTGTATGACCCCATTCTTCTCTCTTCTTCCCATCTTGCACATCCTCTCGACACAGTTTCTTGGCATGGACCGTGCAAGTAGGCCTATGCCAAAATTTTGTAACTACATTTTGAGTACTTTGTTGTCTTTACTAAAAGGAGTTTTTTTTACCTGTGGGGACACGTTGGTTTTTTTTTTTTTTTCTGTAAATGAAATTGTTTACAACTCCGTGTGGGATGTTTTAGTTTTATAATGGGTTAAAAAGCAAAGCACGGCCTCTGCTTACTAACCTCCTCTCTGCTTGTTATGTTGTAATACACAGTGTTGTAGGGTTGACAGCGATCACTGCCACTGAGGGAAGGACAAGGTAGTATCAAAATTTGGTACAAGTAGAGTATCAAATTTAATTATGTAAATAATCCTTCCTTATAACCTTTAAAAATTTGAACATTAAAACCTGCCTTTAATGATTGCTTAATGCGATATGGAGCTGGTATTGAAGTCCTAGTTATGATTACCTAATGTCCATTAGTAAAACTGTTTCCAGCTGCTTGAAAGCTTGTCAAACTTCCATTCTTCTGGACTCAAAGTATGCCAGGCTTTCTTTATATTTTGCAAAGTTTCCAGTAAAACTATTAATCTGTGTATGAGAATGAATTTAGGGAACACATTTATTAAGAGCCTCCTCTGTTTGAGGGAAATATGAATTAGGGACTTGAAATATAATGGAATGCTCTTGGAGTTGGAGACATGACTTTTGTTACATATTTTATTCTGAAGATTTGTCTCCACTGAGCATGCTTGTTGGTTTTTCCTCTCAAATCTCTAGGGTGCCAACCAGACCACACATGTACTATACACACAGAGCAACTGAATATCCCTTTACCTCAAATAGGTTTCTGCTTGTCATCTGCAGACCCACTGGAAGAAACTTAAGCTGCTTCTGAGCAACTCACAAGACATATTTGATTCTCGAGCCTATTATCGGGTTTTAATTCACGGTATTTTGTCTCTAGTGGCAAATGTTTTAATGGGATAGAATTTGAAAACAGCTGGAAAACCAGTGTGTTACAGAATCCTACTGGGGCTGAGCTGGTGTCTCTCTGAAATTGTTCCTCTTTGCTACTGTGCCACAGAAATGAGGAATGAGACTCTTTCTGTGTTTTCAGTGCATTTCTCCTGGTATCTAAAACAGCACGAAAGACAGCAAAATGACAGCTGTAGAAAGTGCAAAGGGAGAAACTGGCAGAGGGAGAGTTTGAATGAATTACTGGAAGATGGCCTGATGCAACAGTGAAGGGATGGGAGGCTTGGCAGAAAGAGAAATATTCGAAGTAAGGGTGTTGGCTGGAACCATTATGTGTGAGACAATGAGCTGGCATAGTCTGACCTGATCCTCTTTCTTAGGTACCACAATAACAGAAGGACTCTAAAGAGATGGGCATGGAGAAATAGGGAAGTAACCTAAGTGTTTTATAAATTCCTACCTGGTTGGAGAAGTCACTGTGTTTCTCTGATTAAGGGGTTTATTTTTTTAAGGTCTTAGGTTTGCTGTTCTGAGGCAAAGGTCACCGTTTTAACATGAGACACATGGGGTGACAGTCTGGATGTAATGCCTGCTTAGAGCAACTTGAAGCTTGGGCAAGAATACCGTGCACACAAGTTGAGTAATTTTTGTGAAGAAAAAACAGGAACTGGCTTTAACAAATAAAAAAAAAAATCTGAAAGTCTATTTATCACGTACTTCAAATTTTCATTCTGTATTGGAGGGGGAAAGGATCTTAATGTAAATAAATAATTAAATAAAATCAGCTCCTCTGTTTTGGAGTGCTGAGACTTAACACTTATTCTCCAGGGATCTGTGAAGAAAAAAAGGCTAGATGAAGAGAAAAGGGAAGTTGTTCCTAAGAAGTGGTTATTTATACTTCCACTTCTTTGGACGTGGATCCCCAACCATATAAAAAAGTGGAGAATTTGTTTGTTCTTATGAAGCTGTATTTAGTTTCATTTCACAAGTTTTTTATGTTCTGGATAATACTATTGAATTGGTTTTGAGTAACTACATGTTTGCAGGTTTAGGACCTAAATTCTGTTGCTTTTGGTGGTTGGTTTGTTTGTTTGTTTTTTCTCCAGTAGGCTCAAGATGGCATTTTTCTACTATAAATTTGTCCCTTTTGGCTAGAAATATAACCACATAATAATGACTAGATATTCTCTAATGTGAATCCCCTAATGAATTTGAAAAGAAAAGAAAGTGGAAGGATCAGCATAACTATCCTTATACGGTACATGGAGATTAAGATGTTATGCTGTTTAATCTGAAGTGACTAACATTGGTTACGGGTCTTTACTGGAGTATGAGTAGCTTGGAGATGCATTTTGAAAGTGGGGAAAGGGTAAGGAGAGGGGAGAACACCTGAAAGCAAAATGTTGTGGTGTGAATAAACTTAATTTGAACTTTGCTCTTCATTTTTGTAGCACACAACTGAGACAAAGAAGGGGGAAGGCAGCCGGTTGTGTTTACTGGTTGTGGCCTTTTATTTCCATGAAGCTGTTATTTTAAAAAAAAAAAAAAAAGAGCAAGCAAATTTTTATCATTCGGTGTGACTTCATTATACCTCCATGAATTCAGATTCTAGATGCATGTGTTAGAAGGCTTTAAGAGCAGTGAGACAATCCAGCAGCCCGACGGCTTTCTTCTACTGGTGCAAGATATGGAAAGATCTATGGAATTCTGTGGAGTTACTTGCATGAGATCAGCCCTCCTTTTCTGTGGCTTGTGTTTCCAAGCATTTGTGTATGTAAGTCTTAATGTCTGCTTGTGCATACCTCATGAATCTTATCTATTTAGCTCAAAATTCAGAAACTGTGAAACAACATACTGCTCTCTTACTGGTTTGCTTAATGCTTTTGAATGTTGTGACCAACAGAATAGAATCTTCATGCCTCAGGGTTGTTCTCTTTCTATAAAAAAAATTGTCAGCTCTTTTTTTTTTCTTTTTTTTTTTTTAATCCAGAGGTGTAGTGCTCATAATAGAGATGGTGTCATGTTTCTGGATTGTAGCAACAAAACAGTCTCAGTTGAAAAAATGAGCACTTGAAAATAATTACTGTGTAATAATAAATAGGAAAAAAGGTGGTATTTCTGTAACAGAGAGAGCACTATTGACAAATCTTAGCCTTTAGTAGAAGATGTATGTCTTTTTTTTTTTTTTCCCCAAATGATTCTTAAAACAATAGATCTGAATGTTTTTGATTATGAAAGAGCATTATCTCCATCTCAGAATAAATGATGTCTAAATTGGGAAATCAATGATAGAAGCTATTAAAAACAACTAAAAATCCTTTTTTTTAGAATGCACTTCAATTATTTTTCAAACAATGCTGATGTAAGACACTTCTCATTGCTGTTTGTATAAATGGAGAATACTTGTTTATGAGTTACTAAAATAAGTCAACAGAAGTAATATTATTTTGCTTTGGTCTACAATTTAGTATTACACTAATTTAACATTGGAATTATCACCTTCACTTTGGTATAGATTTTCAGAAAATACTTCTTCAGGAAGTACTCAAATTGAATTAAAAAAAAAATAATGGAAAGCTTCTTTAATATTTGATTTGACTTAACTGCCCGGCTCATTTTGGTCATGATGATGTCTCCTCTGAATATACAATTCCTTTTTATTTCATAATTGTTCTTATGGTGTAACTTAAGTTTTGCACATGAGATGTAGGTAACTTTCCTCATGTCCCACATGTGTCCAAAACACCAGAATTCTCTTCAAGTATAGCGAAGCTGACTGTTGATTGTGATGTCTTAGTTCTGGTATCTCCAAACCACTGAACTGTTCTTGTATGAGCTGTTTTCCTGGATGTTCTAGCATTGTTATTCCTGAAATAAAAGCAGAACACTGCCGCGTATCTCAACCACACATATTACTGTCTAATGTGATTTATTTACCATGTCTCTCATGGTAGCTAGGGTAGAAAAAAGAAAAATTGTAAGCTAAAAAAACCCTTGCAATTTGTTGAAGCAGAAAATGTGTATTACATGCTGTAAGTTCCTTACCAAGGTAAGGTGGTCAGATCCAGGAAAAAGTGCCCTAGCTCTGTTCTGTTTGCTCAGCTGATAGCCTTGTCTCATGGCCTGAATCTTGATTTCCATATAAATTTCTGTGTGAAAAGACAGAGTTCTTGGGATGGGCTGTTTTCCATTAACACATTTACTGTGATAACACTATGAATGTGAAGGCAAGATTGGTCAATAGTGGCTGTAGCTCCGCTTCTCATCAGCCTTAGCATGCATATTAAATTTTATACTATGGCCAAAGGTGACTATCCAGACTTCACTCTCCTTGAGAGAATTTGTACCTTGATACTCGTTGGCTTTGTCATGTTTTATATCAAATACTTTTCAACAGTAGGCTGCTTGTGTTCTCAACATTTTGCCCTGTGTATGCAAAGGCTTTCACTGGAATTTTATGGCATGAGTTGAAGGGCTAAGCTCTCCATTACTGTATAAAACAGCTTCAGTTTAAGTGACTTTAACAATGACAGAACCGTGCTATGGCATATGGCAGATTAT